TATGAACACATGACCTGAGGCTGGAGTGTGAACACATGACCTGAGGCTGGAGTATGAACTCATGACCTGAGGCCTGGATATGAACCCATGACCTGAGGCTGGACTATGAACACATGACCTGAGGCTGGAGTATGAACACATGACCTGAGGCCTGGATATGAACACATGAATACATTCTTTTTGCATTTTTTTTTAACGTAATCACAAAAATGCCCTCTTTGCTCATCGTTTAAGAAGACAATGATGTTACGTGGTTTTTGATTGATTTCGATTTTGTTGTGGCTTGACCAGTAGGGGGCACAATAACTTTTTTTTCAGTAGTTCAACCTTTGATTGAATTACTGTGAATATCTTATTTTGCCAGTGTCAGTTAGCAGGGAAACTTTGATCCACTTTTTAATTATTACTTTCAAACTCGTCTATTTTTAGAAGGTGAAAGGTCACGTCTATAAAATTCCTGAAATATCCATAATCAGATATTTTAAATCCCCTGTGAAAACGTGCACTCATTCCTAAGGAGAGACCAATAGCATATTCATGGACACACACACACACACACACACACACACACAGTGAAGGCCTGGGTGCTTTGTTAAAAAATGATGTGATGAATATCTTATAAGGTGCTAATGCTATGTGCTACATTAGGATCTGAAGACATTAAAGTTTTAGAGGCTGGAAAAGACGGGGAATTAGGAGGAAGCTGGTGGTTAATGACACGGACCAAAGACTGTGGTCTTTGTTTTGAACGTAAAAAAAAAAAAAAACTAAATCAAACAAAAAAATCATGTGTTTCAGAGTCACACCATCGATGTCTCTCTGATTTGTCCTGGTTTTTTCCTTTTTTTTTTTCTCACCATAGTAGAAGCGTCCTAGAGTTTGAATGATTTATAAATGATTTATATATATGTATATGTATGTATATATGAATATATGTAGTACATATATATGTATATATACTGTGTAAATAACATTTTCAGAGACATTTATTCAGACTCATTCATTTTTTTTGCTCGCCCCCTGGTGGTCGTCTTTTTGTGTTGTGACTGTAAAGTGAAAGTGAATTATTTGTCCTTGTGACACAGCACACCACTGCACACAACCAAACGTGACCTCTGCATTTTAACCCAAAGTCAACAGGGGGCAGTGTGTGGGGACGGTGCCATGCTCGGAGCACCTCAGTGGTATCTTGGCAGCTGGTGGCCTCGAACCTGAATCCTTCTGGACCCACGTTTGTCCAGAATATGGTCTGAGGCCAGAGAGTCTAAAGTAAGAGAAAGAACAGTGAAGGGTTGAAGAGAAGGCGCAGCCTGGTGGTCACAGTGTGTGGGAGGGTGTGTTCAATAATTTAGTGTCTCTAATCATTGGCTCCTGGGTGGCCCACGGTTTGGAGTCTGACCCTGAAGACTCGCTCCGTTAATATCGCTGATGTGAAAGTTTAGAGCCCGACTGCTTCAACTTCAACTTCTTCTCCCTCTGCGGTTGGCTCCGTTCTGCTGACCTGTGAGTTTGGCCTGGTCCCTGCTGGAGGGGGGCTGGGGGGGGGGGGTAACCAGCTCCTCCACACACACATTCACACTCACACACACACAGAGAGGTGTGCACATGCAGTGTGTGTGTGTGTGTTGCTGCTGTGTCAGCGTTGGATTTTTCACGTAAGGGAGGTCGTGACCCCACAACGTGGCGTACACTTGTCTTCATCTGACTGATCACATATTAACACACACACACACACACACACACACATACACACACACCTATATTCAAATGTACAGTCGGTGTGAGTCGGTCGTTGACCTCTGGTAAAAACCTGTTCTCCCATTGGCTGGTCATTAATTCAACATCAGCTGCTGGTCAGTCCTCAGCCTCTGACCGTCAACACTCCCAGATACATTTCATCAGTCTTTTATTTTGTCATTGTTCTATTGTAGCTGTGAATGTCCGATAATATGGGGGATATTAAAATGGGGATAAACGGCTGTATATGAAAGTGAAAGCCAATAGATGGCAGCATTGCAGCTCATTTTATTAATCTATTTTAATAATCAGGGGATTGTATGTAGAATGTTGATGCCAGAAACTCATACAGTGGTTTGAACAGATAAATAAATAAATATTACCAGGCGTTCAATAATATCAGTATCGGTCGCAATATCGGAATTGGAAATTAAGTGTTTGGACAATATTAGCATATCGGATATTATATATTGTTATAACACCTGTGTGCTAAAACAACTAACTAATGTTAGATTCTCTACACATCTGTTCTGATTGGCCTGTTTCTGTACCTTTATCTTTATATGCTAATAAGTCACTGCATGCTCTGCCTACCTCCTCCACAGGAGGGAGCTCTGAGGCCTGATGTGACAAAGTGGGTGGAATTTGAGTGACATTTCCTGATTTTGTTTTTTGAGAATTTTATGTTTGTAGACAAACCAAGATGAAAAGATTTTTTTTTTTTTTAACATTTTTTATTAATGATTTCTGTGTCTTTGTTTCATCTCCAGGAAAGCGACTCCAGGAGTGGGTGTGTGTGATTCTGTGCCTTCTCCTCTTCATCGTCAACTTCTTCCTCCTGCTCCTCCACTTCTCCACCGTCCACATCCACCTGATCGTCCTCGGCGTCGGTGAGATGGAGAAAAAAAAAAAAAAAAATCCATGTTGTAGTTGACGTCTTATTTTCTACTCTTTACACGACAGAATTCCTTTATTTTGTCTTTGTTTTTTGTTTTTTTTTCCAGTCCTGGGAATAGTGACAGCAGACTTCGCTTCAGGGATGGTCCACTGGGGGGCAGACACCTGGGGGTCCGTGGACATTCCTGTAATTGGCAAGGTGAGAAAAATACATGAAAAACTCTGATTAAAAAGTATGAACACTGAAATATGGTGATATTTCCTTTCCTGATTCCTGATCATCAGTTATTGATTATTTTCTCACAAATTCCCAGTCCAATATTCCTGGTGTTGGTTCATTTTCTTTTTTTTTATTTCTTCTCCGGTGATTCCAAATGTAGATCCCTCTGTTCCAGTGTCAGGAACTGATGTTCAGATGGAACAGCAGCAGAGTCAATATATCACTGTACCTAAAGTATAGCAATATATTGTAATATACGACATTGTTGCCCCAGTATTGTAATACATATCTAATTACCAGATTCTTGCCAACACCCACCTCTAGTGGAGACCTGCATTTTTCTGTGCATTTTTTTTTTTTTTTTAGCAAAAGCAGTGAAAATGTCGGTGTGACCTGGGTCAGAAAGGTCAGCCTATAAAAAGAAAAAAAAAAGGGGGCGCTGCAGTATATTTTTTTTGTTGTTTTCAGACACGGTGACTGCAGTGATATGAAAGTATACAGTACCAGAACTCCTTCTCTCCTGAGGCTGTGGACTGTAGTACTGACCTGGAAAGTAAATGTCACCATTTCACAGAGGAGTCTCCCCCCGGACACCAACTGTCCAGGGTCCACAACCAAATCAACACACACACACACACACAGACACACACACACACACCAGTGGCCTCTCCTTGAACTTCAACGACCCGTCACCACACACAGCCACCAGGATGTGTGTGTGTGTGTACATACGAGGGTATGTATGTATGTATGCTCGTGCATATTAAGATGTGCACACACACACACACATACATACACACACACGCTCTGCTGTCACGTTACAACACATTAGCTGCATTAATGCGCACACACATATTTCCCAGAGCCAATTAGGGTAAAGGTTATTCTCATCCCAGCCAATTAAAATGAGTGTGATCAGGTGCAGCATACTGATTGGTCTAATGTGAACTTTGTTTTGATTAATGAGGGTGTGTGTGTGTGTGTGTGTGTTTTATCATCTGTGTCGTCTTTTTATTGAATATTTAAACAGAAACATGTATCTTTTATGTGGACGTTAGCATAAAACTTGACCTCTTGACCTTTCTCATGAAAATAGGTCGGCATCATCAGCTTCGAAAATTTGGAGACGCGAAATTAATTTATTGTCGTGTGTGTGGAGACAGTGCCTTGCTCAGCGGCACCTCGGGGGCTGGTGGATTCAAACCCGCAACCTTCCCGGAGTCCTGAGTCCACTGCCCTCAAAGAGGCCACAGCCTGAATATCGTCCCTGGGTCGAATGTCGAACCAACAACCTCTCCAGTTCCAGGCGACGTCTCTCTCTGATTGTTCCCCGTAGACGTTTCCGTGTCAGAGATGTTTGTTTGAGCCACTGTCCTCACTTCCTGTTAATAAACCGCAGTAATTGACGGCTTTCGTTAAAAAAACCTCGAGGACTCTGCCGTTAGCAGTCGATGCTAATTGTTGGCGCTCACCTGATCTCTGACCAGTTCAGAGTCGCTCCGTTCTTCTCTTGATACCACCGTCCCCGTACCATCATCAGTCTCTGTCGCCGACGATGGTTCGGCGTCCGCGGTCCGTGTCGCCTGATCCAACGCGTTTGCTGCACCAAACCGTCAGCGTTTCCGGCGTCGGGCCGACTCCAAACAATGCCTTCTGGAGCGCCTGCGTCACTTCTTGTGTTTGCTGAAGGCTCTGTGTGGTTTGATGTTTATTTATGATGTGGTGTTTATTGGGGTTGGAGGTAGTTACTGGCACCAAAGGCACAGCGGCCGCCGCAAATTTGCATGGTGCGTCGGACGCTGTAGGAGACGTCTAATAAAGACTTTAACTGCACGAGAAGAATGGAGAACAGAGCGACGGTGACAATGGGCTAGTGGAAAATAAAGAGTGTGTGTGTGTGTGTGTGTGTGTGTGTCAGTCAGGCGTATACCTCAGTTGTTTTGTTGTCTGCGTGGGTTTAGGGAACAGAGCCGGGCCGTGCCTCCAGTTTAGGTTACTTTGAATATGAAAGAGGAGCGGGCCGGCCTGGAACACCTGAGGCTAATGGGCCGCCGCCCGTGAGAAGGTGGAGGAAACGTTTGAAGCCCGTCGTGCACTTTGTCGTTTTGTTTGTTGTGTCATTTACCTGTCTTTGTTCCGCCCATGTACACATCCATACGTGTATATATATATGTACCATGCTGGTACACACTGGAATCTTCTTGATTGGATTTGACTTCCTGCTGCTTTTATTTTAAAAAAATCCCTCGAGAGACTTTGACCAGACACTTGTTAGCAGCATTGATGCAGCACCTGTCGACTCCTGTTCTCCATAAATCCATCATAATGAGACGCTGACAGTCGACTCTCGACACAGTGTCATAAACAACACTTCTCTGTAGGAAGGTTTACAGGCTGTGGCTGTAACTGCAGACCTGACGAGGTTTAACCTTTTATTATAGGTCCTCATTGAACAAAAGTGGCTGTAACAGACCTGACGAGGTTTAATCTTTTATTATAGGTCCTCATTGAACAAAGTAGGAATTTAAAGTCACAAAAGATGATGAAAAATATCTGTGCCACCTCAGGACCCTGCACCTTACTTTGAGAACCACTGGTGTAACGTCAACTCTGAACAACTAGTGCTTGTATTTGTTTTGTTTTTTTTACCATAAATTATTATTATTATTTAATTATATTATGAACTGCATTTAGTTCTGACCCTGGATTTGAGTTTTATTTTTTTTAAGTTTTTTGGTCACAGTACCAGTACAGTAGTCCACAGTACTAAAGCAGTATTTGACTGAAAAAATGTGAAAAAAATTGTAAAATTTTAGATGTTTTAAAAATGATAAAAATTCTATATTTTTTTCCAAATAAAAGCTCAGTATATACAGAATAGAAAAGAAAATGTTCTCAGAGATTATTTTAAAATGTTTTGTTTAAATTTAAGAAAATCAACACATTTCATTTCTACAGCATTTATTCTCATTTTTTTTTGTTCCAGGTTTTTTTTGTTACTTTGTTTTTTTTTCATTTTTTTGTCATCATCACATTTTTCAGCTTTAATTGATTCAACCAGGATTTGACTGATCTCCAACGACAACACCTTCAGGACTGCGTCATGCTCATTAGTTCCCGACGACGCTCGACGTTCCTGGTGAAATCCGGCGGCAGATGTGACTCTGGTTTAGCAGTAAAATCTACTTGTTTGTTTACCCTCAGCCAACAGTACTGGTTCTTTTCACACTTTCTTTCAGGATCTGGTGATCCTTTCATTTTCCTTCTCTGTGTTTTCTTTTTTTAAAAAAGAAAAAAGGTAAAAAGAAAAAAGAAGAGCGGCGATGATTTCTCTTCTCACGGTGAGAAGAGAACTCACCAAAGTGAGATGAAAACGCAGAGAAAAGGTTGGGAGGACATAAATGGAGGAGGGGGTGTCGGGGGCGTTCCTGTCCAGTCAGTGGGACAGCGCCGGCTGCTGGGGTTCTGGGCGACGTGAGCCGGTGATTAACGAAGGTTGTTGGAAGGCAGGCCGTTAAATGGTGTGGGATTAGAGGGCGCGTGTCGGCCGGCGGCCTGCCGTTCGCTGGGAGCACCGATGCCGCCCCGCTCTGCACGACCTCCGCGGCTCAGACGGCCTTTCATGTGACTGAGGGCTCCGAGGACGGGAGGAGGAGGAGGTGGGGGTGAGGCAGATTAGAGCGGGGAAGGCTTCATAATTGTGCGAGTTGTCAACAGATAGTTCTGCGTGGCACCTACGAACCAGCCGTGAGTGTGTGTATGTGTGTGTGTGTAATTGGCCCAAACAGCAGACAACAACAATAATGAGTTTTCATGCTGATGTGACCACAGCTGCACACGTGTGCACTGTAGCAAAAAAAAAAAAAAAAAAAAAGATGTAAGTTTGTCTTATTTCCACAGAGGGAGACAAATTACCCTCATTCTGGTTCTGCGTCCGTGTGTGTGTGTTTTTTTTTTGTCTTCTTTTGTTGTGTAGTTATTCAGATTCTCCGTTTCATTTGAGACCCCCCCGCTCTCACAGGCAGGTGTCGGCCTGTGCACGCTGCTAGCGTGTGTGTTTTTGTGTGTGTGTGTGTTTGTGCGTTTGAAGATAACTTTTTTTGGAGTTTGTCTGCCGTCCGCAGGTCATTTGTGTGTGTGTGTGTTTTTCACTGCTGTTCTGTGGTTTATTAGAACGCTGGGCACCCCTGGGTCCTTTTATGTGTATGTGTGTATGTGTGTGTGTGTCTGCATCTACAAAAGATCTGCATTTTTATATTGGTTTGTAAACAGTGCCGGGTTTTGACCCAGTGACAGAATCTTTACGGTCTGTGATATTTAAAAAAAAAAAAAAAAAAAAAACTCTCCATAAATTTCTCCATCATCTGAAGTCTCCTGTCCTCCCTCCCTCCCTCCCTCCCTGCCTCCCTCCCTCCTCGTCCGTCCGTCCGTCCTCCCAGGCCTTCATCCGACCCTTCAGGGAGCACCACATCGACCCCACCGCCATCACCCGCCACGACTTCATCGAAACCAATGGAGACAACTGTATGATACCCATCCTGCCTCTGGCTCACATGGCCAGCAAGTACCTCACACACACCCCAGGTAACACACACACAAACACACGCACATACCGACACATTTGTGCACACGTATGAGTAAGTGTGTGTGCAGCAGATGCCGACGAGGGTTAATTAGGAACGTTGTCTCCGTGCCGGTGTTCCTGTATCCTGTGTGAACTCTCTTTGTTCTGGTTCACATTGTTATCACCTGTGAGTG